TCATTCAACGTTTTTTTTGCCAATGTATCATCATGATTAATCATTCGTCCCATATGTTTGTTAGTAAAATTTCGATAAAGTGACGGATGAAGCATGTGCGTATGCCATGCAAGATCAATATCGAGGGTCGGAACAAATAGAGTTCTCGCGTAATCCTTTTGTAAGTTAATAAATTTATGATAACGTTCGACTGCATTGGATTGAACTGTCATGCAATTAATCCAAGAATTATCGACCATCTTATTTGTAAAGTCTCGCTGACGTTTAACTGCACTGACGAGGTCGATAGAGAATGGTGCCGGAATATCCATATATGCGAAAATTATTCGTTTAATTATCCCATTTCGTACGTCTTTCAATTTAAGACTAGTTTTAAGGTTATCTGTATGATTTTTGACTTTTGTATTTATTTCTTTCCAAGTATAGACCGTAGATGTGGATATGGTAATTCCCGGGCTAGAAAAGAGCAGATTGCAATCTTTCTCTGCATTAGGCTTACTGACAGTTCCGTTTCTCAAATCAACAATTGTACCCCTTTTTGAATAGAAATACTTTAAATATTGAAATTAAATGCAACTAAACTTTACAATAATGAATTTACCCTATTAATTTCTTTGGGTCATTTCTGTACGTGAGAATATCTTTTACGAATCGAGAGACGCTCAGAAATTCACTCATATATTGGCGGCTGCAAATGTTACATTTTATATCACAATTATTTGTGCGCATGGCTTTTACGTAAATATCTCTAAAAATTATTTTAATTTAATGTTAAGATTTTAGTGCAAAAATTATTAGTCAGCATATACATGTAGAAAGATAGATATTAAACTCACGGTGAAATTTGACCTATTTTGTTGCATAGCGGGCACTTAAAATCAAACGGTGAATCATCATTTAGTTCAAGAACCCAAGGTTTTTTTGTGTATTCATGCCAAATCTGTTGTGAATATTCGTCAAGATGTCCTGAATTTTGTCCCCAAATCTCATGCTACGAAAGGAAACTTAATTAATACTCTTACAAATTTCAAATAGGATTTAAGCGCTTTTAATTAATAAATACTTGCCAATCTGGCTAACGGGAAACTATAATTGTGCGCTTGAGGGTCATGAAGACGTAGCATATCTTCGTAGTAACGTAATGGCGAAAGACAATGGGCGTGCCATATTAAGCAAACATCTTTTATTGTTTCGTAGAAAATGTAAAAAAAAAAGGAGATTAAAAAAGACGATTTTATAAAATAATCGTATACTACAAATGCATGTACATGTATAACCCTAATTACCAAGTGGCGGAATGGGCATTTCTTCTTTAGGAAAATTTTTATCATTCAATAAATTTATCCATGCAATGTATCGTTGTTCGGCTCGCAATAAATAACGGTCATCCATCTCTTGGTCAGATTGTTCTAATTCTTTAAATTTCGTTAGCAAAGTTAAATGCGCATGTAACATTTCAGGATTTACCACTCCGTCAATATTCAGTGTTGTTTTTTGAGGAAATTGCAATTGATGGTGTTGTCTATTCTCATCATTGCAAGTAGGATCAAGCTTCCTTTCTTCAAGTTCAATAATAGTTGACGACCCATCTAACGTCTTGGAAGATGCCATTTTTGCGAGTGAGAGATATCGTAATGTAGATTGTCTGTATTTATCGTTATCGTTGTCGTTATCGTTATGCGTACATGACGTTAAAATGATCTTTATTCCTTTACTGAATATGGCAACTATGTGTCATCTTATATGCGATTGGTTGCTTCCCATTCAAATTAAATTGTTAGGAAAGAAATAATATCGCACGAAAAAAGTAATATTACAAAAACATTTATTTGTGACCACATGTATACGGTCTAAAATGATGCCTGCAATTAATATGCAACGCAGCTAGTGTTGAAATTTTTAATACTTTATTTTTCACAAGAGCCTAGATAGTTTGTATCACGAATATCGTACAAAGGACATGTGATTTTTTTACTATATGATCGACAACCGACATGGAATGTTTTTACATATGATAGAGCTGAATTTTATTCACTTTGTCTGTTTCATTTATGTTATTTTTAAAGACAAATCATTTTAGCATTCAAGAAAAAGAGTAATTATAGATATGCTCTATTTGTATTTTTAATATTAATCCTGTAACAATTTTTTAAACTGGGAAAATTCTATAAAAAAAGAATTTTTTGAGCATGACAAATGTAGCAGTAATTACATAATTTTCTTCGCATCATATTATTTTGCATTTATGTAGGTGAGTTCTTAGTGTATTCTTGAAAATTCGCATTTTATGAGTTATAATCAATAATAAATGTATATTGTATATGTAGTAAACTTTTATTACATGTTTTCATTATTTATATTCTGATTTTAAATACATATATATGTATAATATTGTAGTTCCATAAGATAGAATTTAAAAATTCAAAATATATCGATATGAAAATCATGTAGACTTTAAGTCAGTCAAGAGATAAAATATTAAATAGTATATTAGCTTTAAATTATCGATAGTAAAAATAATAAATAGTTAAATATCATTCTCAAATTTTATTACTAAAATTTTAAAAATAAAACAGATTACAAATTTTATTCTTAAAAAACTCAACATAATTTTGTTTATTAAAACTTGTTTTATTTCATAAAATAAAAACAGATTTCATTTCAAAAAAAAGTTGAAAGAAGCAAAAACTTAATTAAAATAAATTGAATAATACAAAAATTGCAAAAGTGTAATAAAAAATAGTGAATTATATTATTGTATCATTATCATTAGCACAGCCTTTTTTTTGCTAACCTTTTTCTAAGCCAAATACTACAAATTCTTTTTATATCCCAATCCTCTGGTTTAGTGTCAGATAATGTACAAATTTCTATAAGCACTTTTGATGTTTCTTCTTGAGATAATATATCAAGTTCAATTAATCTTTGAAAAATCTCACTTTCTGATTTTGTTAAATATTTTCATTTTCTCTTTGTGCTTTCAAATTCTTGATTATTATTCTTAATAATATTATTTTCAGAAAGCTCTTTTTTAAGTAAATGTAATTGTCTTTTTATATTTTTATAAATTTTTTTGTTGATAAATTGTATTAGTTTTCATTTTTTTTGTCTTCATCCTTTAGTAATATAAGAAATATTTTTGGTAATTTCTTGAGAATGAATATTATTTAGTCTCTTGATGTTAATATTATAACAAGTAAATAAATTATTAAAGTCTTTTTCTGTATATTCTGGTATATTTTATGTATATTAAAATCTTCTTGTTGAGTAAATGCTTGAATTAATTGATATTTTAAACTATGCATAACATTATGTTGAGATATTAATTTATAATCTTTAGTATTATCTCTAATATATTTATATAAGAGTAAATCTAAATATTTTCTTTCAGTTTATATTGAATTTATTTATGACTTTAATTTTTCTTCATCTTCTAAGTGATATCTAATATTTTCTTTAACATATTTAATATCGAAATATTCAAGAGCTTTATCAAATACAAAATAATATCTCTTTTTTGTCAAATTTACAAATGAAATATATTATAATAATATATATAAATCTGAATCTTCTAATAAATAGTATAAAAAATAAGTAATTGAATGTGAATAATTATTTTTACCAGTCACTGTAAAAAGTAATACAAATATAGTTAAATTTTGAAGTTGCATTTGATAATATTCATATTGAATTTCAATTTTATATCCTATCTAATAACTATTATATTCAAATTAAAGAAGCAAAACTTTTGCTATTTGATTATTCCTATTTTTTAGTATTGCAAAATTATTACTAGTAATTTTACTTAATACAAATTCAACTATAATCTATATGAGTTTTAATACATAATAAGTTGCTATATAATTAATTATTTTTTCTAATTTATCTAAAAATTATGCTTCAAGATATGTTACCAGATTAAAAATTTCATAATTAGAAAATATTTCAATTAAAATTAAATATATTTCTTTATTTATATAACAAGATCCTAAAAGAATTTTTATATTTGGTTATTTTTTATGATAAGAAATTAAATGTTGAAAAATAGTTTCATTTGTAACTATATTGAGTTTATTATTTCAATTAGCATTTTTTCTTGCATTATTAAAAACATACTATAAGTATTATAATTTACTTTATCTAAATATAGATTACTATCTGATTTCAAAATAATAACATTTGATACTGGTATTTTAGATTCTGATTTTATATTATTTACTAGTTCTTTATATATTTTGTCTATATTAACTTCTGCTTTATTAAGTATTAATAATTTTTAAGTTTTTTTTATTGTAAAAACTAAAATATCAATTTTTAATAAATATTATTTTTCTTGTAATATTTCTGAAAGAGTTTTTTTAATTAAAACTGGTAATATAAATTGAAAACTATATATAAACTTATATATTTAGTTATATAAGTAATATAATATATATTTCTAAAGCTAAAAAATTATTTTTTAAAGTTAATATTATCTTTCTGAAGCAAATATACTTTTGATTTTGATTGAATTTATCTTATATTTTCTAGTTATCTTTTATATTATTAAGAGTATAATATAATATTAATAATATATAAAATTTAATATAATAATATAAAAATTTTGATTTTTAACAAAGAAAGCTCATTAATATATAAGCTATATATTAATACTTAAAAGAGCAATTATAAGAATAAATAATATTATAAAAACTAAAATTTTAAGAGAATATCTGATATCAAATTTTATAGATTTAGTATCTTTATTTTTTTATTTTTTTAAATAGATTTAATATTATTTCTTTACATAAATAATATTAAACTATCAAAAAATTTCTTTAAAAATTATAAAAAACAATTATAATAATGATCAAAAGTTTCTGATATTTCAAGTATCTTCTTGTTTTGAATTAAATTTGAATATGCTTTCTATATAACTTGATTAAAAATTTTTTTAAGTTTTTATATTAATTTCCATAAATTAAATGATTTGTTAACTGAAATTTTTCTTTAAATTTTTTGATTTTCACTTTTCCAAGTTATATAACTATTTTTATAACTAATAAACTAGATATTAATTTATTTATATTAATATTAATATTATTTTAATCTTCATTTATATTGTTTTATTTTTATTTATATTATTTTAATTTTCATTTTTATTAAAAATCAAAAAATTTCATCAAATAATAATATTATTTTTGTCAAAATATTTTGACTAAACTTTTCATCTTGAGATTCTGTACTAATAATTAATTATTATCTAAATAATAAAAGTATTTTTTATTATTATTAATATATTATTCTTGATAAGTATAAATTTTAATATTAATTTCTTTTTTTTAAATAAATATTCATCTTTTTTTTAAAAATAATTTAAATAAATAAATTTTATAGATAATTTTGTTATTTATTGCTTAATTAATTATTTATTCTTATTAAATACTAAATATATTTTATATTTAATACAAAAAAGCTTATTAATTGTAATCATTAATACAAATATAATATTCTTTATAATTCATATTATAACTAAAAAAATAATAATTTTATTATAAAATAAACATCTTCTTAAATAAATATAATTTATATTAATTGATTATTTAAGTTTTATTATCTTATTATATAATCAATTCTGATTAAAAATATTATCTTAATTAATTATAACTTATAATAGCTAATTAGAAAATTGTAATTAATTATAATAGTTAATTAGAGAATTGCAACTAAATTATAACATCATCTTTAGTTTTGATCAAATAAAAAGTATACTATATATATATTAAGTATATATATTATATTATATGAATTATTTTTATTAATAATAGACTTATCAATTTTTCATATTCTAATAAATTAATAAAAAAATCTTAATATATTGTTACCGTAGTAGCATAAAAATCTCTAATTTCTTAATCTTTTTGTGGTTATGCCAAATCATATTTTCTTATAACTTTTACATTTTATAATTATTCTTATATTTTTACGTCATATAACTATCCCATATTATTGTATTTATTATCACATTTCTATATTTAGACATTATCTTGTTTTTAGTTAAGATCTACATTTTTATTATTTTGTATTATGATATTCATGTACATAGTAGAATAATATAGTGGAAGACTATTTTTAATTTTGGTAGAACAGTTACATTTGGATGATAATCTCAAATATCTTTCCACGTTCTTTAACATTCTTCAACGTTCTTTCATGTCTTTCCACATTTTTCAACATTTTCTCATATCTTTTTATATTTTTTAATGTTCTTTCATGTACTTTGATGTTCTTCAACATTCTTTAATGTATTTTAATATACTTCGATATAATCCACTCATAATTATTTATATTATAGTACTTTAATTATATCTTGTATATTAGATAGTATTAGTTAGTAATACT